TGAAATAAAAATATTACTAGTTTAAAAATAATTTTATAGAAAACATGCCTTTTACTATATATTCTAGTAGATTGCAGATTCCATGAAGCATTTCTATTAATCGAGATTACATATGATATGCTTGGAACATAAAAAACAGAAATATAATAAAGCATATAAATTTAGTTAATAAGGAAAAACAAAATAAGGAAGTTTCTTTCTAAATAAGAAGACAGTATGCTTAGAACATAAAAAACTAGAAATATATTAAAGCATATGAACTTTTTCAGCCCGTTAGTCATAATTATATCTCCAATCTCAAGGTGGAAAAAGGGGAAGATGACACACATTGATCAAACTACTCCAAATTTACAAAAACATAGAACATGATAAATCATTGTCTACTCCCAAGGCTAAAACATCTTCCTACACTATTATCCAATCATTTTCTGCTTGATTAAGAAAAAATCAGGCTCAAAATGATATCACTATTGACCTGACGACTACTATTATCAGCACCAAACAAATACTGCCGGCTGGAGCAACAACTACACACACAAATCAGAAACCAAATATGAAGAAGGCAAATGAGCTATGAGATAAGCAATGGAAAGTTTGAAAGAAGGAGAACTACAGGCAGAACCGACACACTTTGGGAAGAAACAATCAGGTAAGACACTTAACTCTACTATTTCTACTCATAATAACTATAATGATCTTTTTTTCAGGATCAAACTAATAACCAACAAGAACAAGAAAACCACCTTCACAATTTGATACATCAATAAAGGAAATACATCAACAAATAAAATAAAGGATGATTTGAATAAAGAACAACTAGAAAAAATCGAGGAAAATACAGTCGAGAGGTTCCAGAAGAGAGAAAGAGAGAGAAAAGCCTTAAGTAACAAATAAAATACCTCAACTATCACCAACCAAATATACAATAAAAGAGCAGCAACAAGCCAAAAACAAAAAAAGAGAAAATACATTCATAAGTTGATTCTGCCAATGTTGTGAAAATAAATCGATGTTTAGTAACAGAAGGAAGTTAGCATCTGAGATTTTAAGCAAACAATACAGACGATTCCAAGTGACTTTCATTTTATTGACGAATTGATATGCAAAAGAAGCAAACAATACAGACGATTCAAAATATAAAACAAGGATTACAACTAAGGAAACTTGTACAAAATAAATGAAAACAAGAGGAATTTTAATCACCTAAATGGGCTATCATTATTTGGGAAATACCAACACAAAGAAACTGACTTCTCACTTGACGTGAGGTATCAAAATTAGTGAATCACAAAATTACGAGGGCATAATAAATGAAGGTGCAAATTCAAAAATAGCATGCTCAACCACTGTCCGAACAAGGATAAAAATCTCACAAAACTAAACATGAACTTTAAACTAAAATTATCTCAATATTGGCATTAGCGACAGATACTTTGAAAACCAGAAAAGAAAATATAGAGAATGTCATCTTTAAGTTGATTAAACACAGACTTAAAGAGAAGAACATTTGAAATAAATAGGCAGCCAACTCATGCTAGTAAGAGAATTGCTTTTGTGCCTATGGCCCAAACGACTGAATTAGCTAGGCTGAACGAAAAACTCCAGGAAAATGTAGTCATCAAATACTACGAAATGATTCTAACAACTTCATACTACGAGATGATCCCAAAACATTTCAAAATATTGAACTAAAGTTACTATCTATACTTGAAAATGCACTAGAGAAACAACAAATGACTTCTTCACTCTTCAAGACATATACTCGAAAACAAGAAAATTGTTCCAGCAAATAGAAACAAGACAAAATCATTGTGATTAACAAATGAACAACCAAGATTTAAGGCGAGCACAGTAAAAAAAGCAGTGACCACAGATTAAAACAAACATTATAGCAAGAAAGAGCTTAAACATGGACAAGCAACAGTACCAGCAATCAGAATAAGAACAAGGAAAATCTTAAGCATCTGCAGAAATTAACATGAAAAGCAAAGGATAATCTAATGTTTTTGCTCAAATAAATCCCAACTTTTTTTCATTCCCTAACGGTGAAAAAAGGTTTATATAGGGAGGTTAATATACGAGCTACACTGCAAAAATCAACTGATGAAACTAAAATACAAGTCACACTTCCAAAAATTGCATAAAAACACAAGAATATAAAAACCCTAAAGTTAAAATTTAGAATTTCAAAATGAAATTTCTTACCTGATAAACCCAAATCCAACAAAATCTCTTTGAAATTGTGTTCTTCAATGAGACACTTGAGAGAACAGTGTGACGGAGAGACTAATTAGCTTCAGTTCATCATCATGTCAACAACCCAACAGTATACATTTCTTCTATACACAAAACGAAAAATCAAACACTTCAGCTAACAAGAAGACTGTTTTAGAACTACCACTTCAGCTAAAAATCAAATAAGTTTTGAAAAAGAGAATCGTTCTTACTCTTTAAGGAATCGTTCAACTCTTCAGCTCAGTTCATCAACTCTTCAGCTTGTATCAGAAAAGCGAACTAGTTCTTCAGCTATCTTCACATCTCTTCACCTCAAACCTTTAGTTCTTCAGCCTGTATCGGGACAATGGAACCGGCCAATTCTTCTGCTGAAAAGAGAAATGTGAAAAGGAAAGCTGAAAGAAGAAAGTGAAGTCAATGTTTTATTAATGTTTAACTTTTTTGGCCAATAAAAATGGGAGGGAGAGTTAAAAATATTGGAGGAAATATAATATTTTAGTGAAAATTTTTAAGGCAACACTTATAAAGTGTTGTTTTTTTAATTATAAAAATATGATATTTTAGAAGTGTGGTCATATATGTAAATAGGTGTTGCCAATTATATCATATTTTAACAACACTTATAAAGTGTATCTTATATCATTGAAGAGTACACTTTTGAAGTGTTGCCAAAATTATTGTAGCTAAAAGTTAAAAATTTTGGCTACGCTTTAAAAGTGTTCCCAAAACTACTTTAGGAAACACTTTCCAAGTGTAGTCCAAAATAAGTGTGGTCGTGGGACTAAAATGGTGTAGTGAATAGATGAGCATAACTCCTAACTTTATTTTCTCCATGATGTGTAGTAATTCTCAAGGTTTAATGTAATGTTTATGACACCCTTTGGTATTCCTCATTGTAATACTATAAATAATGGTGTTGAGAATAATGTTGATACACTTGAAGATTTGATGAATACTTTGAAGAATAAGAAATGCTCTCCTCTTTTGTCTCCCTATTTTTATTGCTTTATCTTTTATATTCCCTATCTTATTTTGTCTTAATTTTACAAAACGTTATCACCACGATTGTTCAACTATTGAAGGATTGAAGCAAAGAAAATATAAAGAAGGTATAAATATTTGTGTTTATTTTTCTCTCAAGGTAAATTACTATAGAATTTATTTTATATTTTACTTCTGATTATGCATCATTAATTTTCTTACCAAAAAAAGTGAACTTCTATTGTTCCTCCAGTCTTATATTCTTCTTGTCTTCATCTTAATATATTTTTTTTCTTAGTTTAATAACACATTATCGAAATAAATATTAGTTGGCATAATCGGTTGACCATTTCGGTTCAAATTTGATGCAAAATAATTGAGAATTCATGTGGTTATATGTTGAAGAAAGAAAAGATTCTTCAAGAATTTTCCTGTGTTGCTTGTTCTCATGGTAAAATGATTATTATACCTGTTAAGGTTGGGATTGTATTCCTGAAATTATTTGGAACATATAAAAAGGTGAATATGGGCTCGTTCACCTGCCATGTGGACCGTTCACTATTATGATTTAATAGATGCATCTATGGTATGGTCACATGTGCATTTGTATCAACTTACAAATTGGTTTTTGTAAGATTATTTGCTCGAATTATTAAATTAAGAGCATAGTTCCAAACTTTAAAGTCATGTTTATAATGTTGGTTGGTTTAGCATATTTCAAATAAAGTGTCCCTTTTTACATGATCTCTTGCATGGTCATCATACTTAGCTTCATTGTACTAATTCTATATTTTACTCTAATTCTACAAGTGTAGTGTGGGCAAGTGAGAATCCCTAGAGTTGAAGCTTGGGACTTAGATTGTTCTTCAAGACTCTTGGTATTTCCTCATATGTTCAAGGACATTGATGTTATTTCTAGTTTTCTTTCATTTAAAACTTTGTATTAGATATAAGTTTCATTTCAATGTAAAGGTCGTGCCCTAGTTTGATATTCTTAACATTTGAGTCTATGATGGCTTATGTGAGACTAGATGTCCACTTGCTTTATAAATATTTCTTTTTAAAATGTTGGCTCGTAAGCCTTATGATTTTGTTTTAAAAGGTTCTAATTTCGCACTATTTCTATGACAATGCGATGAATGAATGCTAAGGACTTTTATATGACCTTCGAGAGATCGAATACGCCAACAACGACTAGGGTGTGCTCTCAGGTCGTTACAATTAATTATTTTTGGTGCTTGAATATAAGATTTTTCCAAGTATTCCCACATCTCCTTGTCAGTTAAGCAACCCACAAGTAGGTGCATGCGTTCTTCGGTCAAGGTGCTTGAGATCCAACTCTTTAACAACATATATTTCTCCTTCCAATCATCAATGGTGCCACTTTCTTTAGCATCCTTCTCAACCGCTAAAACTTTCCCAATAGTCTGTCCAATGGAACAACTACTTTTACTTGGTTCATTCTCTATGGTAAATCATTAGGATATGTATGTCCTTTTTATGAGGTTTGTGCTGACTTAAAGTTTAATAGAGCAAGCGACAATTATTTGGTGAAGTGAGGAGGTTGACATGGTTTTGGTAGAAGGGGTCATTGCAACGTGTGGGCTTTATCAATACTCAGAGAGCGAAAAGTTTTTAAACTCTTGATACCATGTAGAAATCCATGTAAACTCGTCAGTCAACTTCGTTGGACCTGTTCCAATCGTCAGCTTTTTCTTCTTCAACAATAGTCAATCCTCATATAGATTTGAAGACTTCTCATGATTGGTAAGCAAATGGAGGAGTGAAAGAGGTAAAATCCTTTTCTTAAATTTTATAGCAGTGTAAATAATAGAACAAAGACTTAAATACTAGTAGAACAGCTCATGCTACATTATGGAGTTTGTATATTCAACTATATATATAAAGCTTATCGTTATCCCTAATGACTTCAACCGAGTCAATTTCCGCTCCTTCTTCATTTGTCACCAATGCATCTTTTGCATCAAAGCCAAACTTGTGGCCTACAAAATAGATAATGTTAGGATTGTGGAAGAACTAAAAATGGAGAAGAATTTGTTTGAAAAGGAACCTGCAATGCCCTTGAGTTTTTCAAGTGAATCGGGAAGCTTTATTAACCTTCCCGGTTCATTGCACTGACTTCTTCTCCTGAACTCAGGATGACCTCTGTATATGCTAACTCTAAAAGCACATTGATCTGTATGACTTTCAAAGTCGTATTTTTGTTCCTGTTCATGCCACTTATGATCAACTTCATCCATAGTATCGGATATTATTATCCTGTGCCCAACGTCTGGTTTTTGCAGTATTTCACTTAGGTTCATCGATGAAAGCTTGTCCTTCAATGTATCATCAATTTCATCTCCGTTTAATAATAAAAGCTTTACCATCTCTAAATGATTTTCTTCTATTGCAATATGCATAGCAGTTGATCTATGTCGATCTTTTGAGTTAACAAGTAATCCATGTTTGAGGAGTTCCTTCATAATTGTTAATTCATTTCTCCTAGCTGCTTTACATAGGAGGTCACCAGAAACATATGGATCAGAGATACATGCCCAATGGTACAGGATTTCAAATATGGGATGCTGTTTTGCTGTGATAGCTTCCCATAATGCGGTGTCACCATTTACATCTGCCATTTATGGAATAATCAAGATATCATATACCACTTGGCCTCTCAAAAATTTCAACATTGAGGTTGTCCTACCTTGTAAGTGTATGTTACATCCATGTCTGAGAAGCACCATTACACATTCTTCGTGCCCTTTTGATGCTGCTATATGCTGATGCAATGGATAGAGAGAAAAGATGTTGACAAACTCGGATACAACAAGTATATTGGTAGCGTAAGAAGTACACAACAAGGGACATACCAGTGGAGTTCTCCCTTTGGAATCACAAATATTAGGGTCTAATCTTGCCTTGAGAAGCTCATCAAGGAAAGTGGCATTGCCTGTACTGGAAACAGTCAACAAATTGATGGACATGTTTGGATCACTATCTTTATCCCCAACATCAACGAACAAGTCTGTAAGTCTTAGATCCTTGAGCTTCTTATGATGCTGTAATCAACACAGTTTACGAAAAATACTAAGATTCATCTCTGAATTGACACATTTGAAAGATCACTAAGTAGCTAGGAATGAACCTGAAGGAAGTTCTTCATCATGGTCATGTTATCCTCTTGTCTGCTCTTCATTGCTTCAATCAAAGAACTTGTCCTTATCTTTAAGAGCTGTGAAAGTGTCCTTGTCCGATATGTGTAGCTCTGAGGCCTACAACAAAAGGCCCCAACTTCTCCAAACATGTCTCCACATCTCAGAGTCCAAACAATCTGCTCATTCTCCATCTCACTATCAATCATTTCCACCTCCCCTGAAACTATGATATAAACCTCATCTGGCGATTCATTCTGCATTATGACATCTTCCCTTGGGGGTATATAATCAGCCTTCATGTCAGCAACCTAAGCGATCATTATGATTAGACAAACAACATGTATGAAGATTTATGAACGAGTCGATCTTTTTAGTTCATAGAATAAAAATGTCATCTTACAAGGTGCAAGCGAATTTCCCTGGAGATACCCTTGAAAAGATAGACCTTTTCAACAGTTGGCAAAAACAAATGATGTCGGATACTCTTGCAGATTGTCTTGGGAAGTTGTTCAATTAGTTGTTGTTGGTTTAAGCTCTCTGCCTTGAATCTTAAGCACATGTAAGCCAGTATTTGCTCCTTCAGTCTTGGAGGCAAGTGATTTCGACACACAAAGTTTGAAGCTGATTGTATGCTATTTCTCTGCAAAAGAATTGAACGTCATTTTATCTCGTTTACACTATGCACTTACTTTTGCTCCTTCCTATACATTTCAATAAGAAAATAACTTACGAATTCCATGGTGCGACTGGTTCCTTCAACAACTAAATTGGTCATGTTGCCGATAATGTAAGCAGTAAGGCCAAGATTGAAGAGCATGTAGAAAATGATGAAGATCATTTCGACAGTGTTAACCGCATGGAGGTCACCATAACCAACAGTTGTCATGGTGGTGATAGACCAATAAATAGCTGAAATGTATCTAATCGAAAGGCTCGTCTCTCTGAACTTTGGATTCACAGATCCTAACCAAGTATTTCCTTGGTGGGGATATCTGTCAGCCAACAAGTAATAGAGGCATCCAGCACAGTGCACTGAAAATAGTGTTACCTGTTCCATGCCACACACTCACTCATTCATAGATCTTCAACTAGGAAAAAGATCAAAATAATTATTTATATGCAAACTTACAAACAAAAGCCTAGCACATCTGATCCAAAAATAGCTGAATCTCATATCCTTTTCAAGTCTGCCAAGGAACAAGTCTATAATTAGTAGTATACAATATTTAAGTTTTATTTGTTCATGTAAAGATGATCTTGAGATTTAATTCAACTTTAAAAGTTAACTCATTTAGAATAATCCATATAATGAGATCAAATTCTCATTTCTTTTCCGATGTGGAAATTTTTAACCTCGTTAACGGGAGCTCGACACGATAATATGAGAGGGCGATACCGGTAAACAAATAATTGGGATGGATGTAACTCAAATACGATGTAAAGATGGAACTTGAAGCTAACTCAACCCTAAATGAGTTGGTTAGGTCAAATTTGGGTGGGCTGGTGATGGTCAACATAAAATGGGTAATAAATCAATCCGTTCATATTGTATATGGATAAAAATGAATAGGGTAACAACTGAGTTGTGTAAAATACAAGTTTATCGATGTTTTCATAAGTAAATAATACTCTATGCTTTAGAATTCAACTTGGAGAAAATGTTGAAAATAATTTATTTTGTTTTATTATATTACAAAAGTCAAAAAAATATCCTACAACTTTTCAATATAAAAATAAAATTACGTAATAAAAGGAAAAATAATTTTAATTTTAAAGTAAATGAGTATTTCCATTTTAGGAATAGAAGTGTTTAATGTACTTTGAGCAATATTAATGTTAATACATGATTTGCTTATTTTACAGAGTTATTTATCACCCAATATCAAATTAAGCAAATAAAAAAAATATTATCATAATCTTTTAAGAAAAATATACATTTAATATAAATATCTTTTTGAGGGTCAAATACTTCACCTTTATGAGAAGTTACAATATTTTTACGGATATTATGAATTTTGAGTGAGTAAAAAGTTGAAAAAGCTTAACGTACTAATTCATATTTTACCCATGAATATCCATATTTTTGTGGATGAAATATGAATATCAATCCATATTTTATTCATATAAAAATCAGTCACTCAATGCATTAAAATATGAATAGGTTATCATATTTTGATCGGCTTTCCGATGTAAGAATTGTTAACAAGTGAAAGAGAAATTACCGGGTGAAAAATTGCTTAACTTTGCGAAGACGCCAAAATCTGAGTACTCCTAAGACAGAATAAGAGATGCCAACTTGGTGTTTGCCAGTAAAGAACATGGCCACTAAATCAAAAGGGATGGTAGAGCCCACATCCATCAGAAACCATGTTGATACGTATCTGTAAATAAATATATATCACTTCATTATTAACTACCCATACAAATACATTACTATTAGTATATTATTTTCTGACTAATTAATCATTAAATTAACTTTCTTTTGCATTTCTCAACCCACAAGTTCACATAGACGTACCTCGGTTCTTTATTATTATTTTTTCCATTCCTTTTCACACAGTTATATTACATTTTTGAAAATTAATTTGTATATTCATTTAATATTTTAAAATAAAATTTAAATATTAAAACAATACAAAAAGTACTATATGCAACTTATTTTTATTTCTACGATGAGAAATATATTTTAAAATATTGATCAAAATTCTCCTTACTTTAGGATTGACTCAAATAGAATGGCTTGACCGATCAGCCATTTGAGTATAATATTTTTCATAAGTTAATTAAAATGCTTTGAATCGTCATTAGATAAATACTCTCTTTGTTTAGACAAAGAATAACTTCGTTTTTTTAAGCTTGTTTCAAAAAAAATGATTTTTTTTTTTTGGTAAAATTTTTATTTTAATTTTTTCATGACATGTTTAAAGCCACAAAATTAAAGACCATTTTGATACATTTGACATAATTTTAATTTAGAAATACAAGATCAAAAGTTGTTTTTTTCTTAAATTTTATCAAATTAAACCAGACTATTCTTTTTGAAACGGATGAAATATTAGTTTGATCCAGCTCATACATTTTTATCTTGCATAAAAGAAAAGATATATTCCAAATCTCTTTCTTTTTTTTTTCTTTTTGAATTTGAATGTTATAAATGAATACTTTTTAAAAGATATTTTATCTTATTACACAATGTGTGACCATAATTACAACGTGAAAAATAAAGAATTTAATAGATTATATAGCATGTTAAATTATATTAATAATTTTTTAAATATTTTTAGAGTTTGGGAGAGCTCTTTTTTTTTTTTTCCCTTTGGACTATTCCCACTCAATAATTAAGGGAATAAATGTATTGTTCAAAATCTAAATCTTGAAAAATGAATAATGTGAAGAAAAAAAAAAGATGTTGGTTCTTTGCACCTGATCCCTTGGTGTGTTGGGTGGGGTGGGGTGTGGAGGGACGAATATTTGGAACGGATCAAAACTATTAGCCATGATTTATCGATAACATATTCATTCACGATAAAAGAAGGAATCATTACTTCTTCAAATTAGAATAGTCACATTCTTACGCAGCGTTATCAAATCTCTGTTTATCATCAAATATATATGTGGAATATAATTATAACTCTCTATAGTCTATATTTATATATTTTCTCCATTTAAAAGAATGATTTTTTTTCTTTTTAATCTGTTTAAATAATAGTGATTTTTTTTGTAGTAATTTTTCATGTGACATATTTAAGACCACAAGATTAAAGGATAATTTTGACATTTGACATAACTTTAATTTATAATCACATAATCAAAAGTCTTTTTGTCAACTCCCTACCAAATTAAACTAGACCATTCTTTATGAAACGGAGAAAAATAAATAAGTGTGAATATAATTATAAGTTCTCATTTAATCAATGCCAGTTCAAGCCATGTGGAAATTTAGAAGATCATAAAAAATAAAAAAACATATACAAGGAAATATAATTATAAATTTAGGAAAAGAAAAGAACATACATATTACTGCCCATCTCATTTCATATTACTTAGTTTAACTTCACACAGTTTTTTTTTAAAAAAAAACTTTTGAATTTATGGTCTAAAGGTAAAATAAATATAAAAATGAGACATTTTATTTAAACCGATCAAAAAGAAAAATAAGTCATATAAATTGAAATAAAAGAAATACCTTGTAGCAATTTTTTTTCGATCGCGAACAAGAAGCTGAGAGGTTGAATCAATGTATGCGACGGAGAAGGTCAAGATGATATCAGCGGCAAAAAAGAGATTGACAATATTATCTGCAATATAAAGCTTCTTGTTTGGGTTTAAGTTCATGAATGCCATCTCAAATGGACATACCCATGCACAATATGCCACCAATACCACCATTAGTGTCTCCCAACACCTACATACATATATACAAATTAAATCTCTCCTCAATTAAGTTATAATTTAGATAATTAATATTTGTACTAGCTAGGTAATCAAATTAATTATATAAAACTTATCTTATAATTAAGTGATGTGAATGACTTTTATACCACGGGCGTAGCTACCCTATAGTGAGTCAGAAAATAATGTCGTATATACAAGTAAAATGATACATAACATGTTTAAATAACATATTTTGAACACTTTGGATAGAATAAGGTATTATAGCCTAGTAATTTTAGATGTCTTGAAATAGCCTAAGTGCTTAGGTGTTCGAATCTCACAAACAAGTATGTCTAAGTTGGAAATCAGAGTAGCTAGAGCACTACAACTATCAATGAGTGAAAGTGAGATGTCTGCTATCTTCATTGAATGCCAAGATAACAATCTTTATTATTATAAGAAATGATAATAATAATGATGGGACAAAAGTTCACATAAATCATTTATTGCCACAAATTTAAAAATAATATATATATATATATATATATATTCACCAAAAAAGAGAGAGGAAAACATTTTCTTCTATTTAAAATTACCTGTATGTTGAATTGATAGGTGAGATAGTGTTGCCTTTGTGAAGATCAGTCTGATTCTGGTTATAACCAGAGGAACCTAAAGGAGGAACAATGAGCTTTGATAGGTTGTGAAAACTCATATTTCCTAAACCTGAATTACCAACTCTCTCATTATTTTTCTTCTTCTTATTATTATGCATATCTTCGTTTGTTTGGATTTTCTCCCCATTCATATCACTCATGTTTCTATTGTAGAAACCATGTAATGAATATTTCACTTCCATATTCATCATATTTCTTATGTAATGGGGGAAGAGAAAAAGAATCGGTTGGTGGTCCTTATATGAGTGGACCTTGAGAGGTTGTGTATGAAATTAGTTTTATCTTATAGAAAAATAGCATCTGTCTTATTTATTTTTATTCTCATATAATGCAGACATTGCTATAGGGATATGGTATCATGTCATATTTATTGGTTTGGCCCCTTGTGTACATCAGTGCATGGAGGGCCCTATGCACAGCTTTACCTACTTAAAAAAAAAGAGCGTAAATTAAAGTAAATCTTAATATGAAATTATAATTTATTTCTAATATTTAATTACATTAATTTTTTAAAAATAAAAAAAAATCGGATACACCTTAAACAATGTCTCGGATGTATTGATATGTACCTTGAATACAAAAAAAAAATCTAGCTCAGATACATTAAATACTTGCTCATATGCATTAATATGTAGCTCGAATACATAATATGTAGCTCGAAGACATTAATATGCAGCTCAGATGCATCAAAAAAATAAGGGATTTTGGAGCTGTTTAAAAGTTACGGGGATAATAGAAATAAGTGAAACAAAAGATATGTATTTCTGTAATTTGTCCAAAAAAATTTAAAATATTACGATAGTTATATAGCGACGGTCGTAACGAACCACTATAAATATAATATAATCCAACATTTTTTATACGTAAGGTTTAATATTTTAATAGCGGTTGTTTGTAGTTAAGTTATGGCGCTCTCAACAGCTACTAACATTTTCTAATTTTTGAAAATTTTCCCATAAATTCAATATTTTCTTAAAATATAAAACGTTAAAAACTAAATCACCGTTTATGTAATGTGCCTTCTTTGTGAAGTTACTTTTAATTGTAAATGACCATTTTCACCATTTCCATACCATTTTCATTCTTAGTTTGTGTTGTAGGAATGGTCGGTGTGGTCCCTGTTGGGTTATGGGTCTTTTCCCCTTCCTATGTGGATAAATAAAAGCCCAATTTGGACCAACCCATTTTTGCCCATAGGCCCATTGTTATGAGGCAAATATAAGCTTATTTAGGTCTTATTTTCATGTACACAAAGAGTTTTTTCAGCAGCCAAAAAGAGTGAAAGAGAGCAGTTTTCGCAGTCAAAATTCAGCCCTAATAGTCAACTTCAAATTGCGATTCTTGCTTCGTTTCTTGTCCGATTGAGCTGATTTTTGGACAGCATATTATCTTCATCTCAATCTTTGATTAGGAGCTGACAGAGTTGGATTTGGTGGCCTGCAGCTTCAGTTTTGCTGTCGTGAACAGTAGCTGCGAAATTGGTGAATTTGCTCTTTTAATTCTCTAGATTTGGTGCAATCTTATTTTGTTGTTGCTCGTTGTTTGGCACTTGTTTTGTGGCCAATTTTGGAGAACAATATTGTAACTCTTGGTGATTATAGTGGAGCTTTTGGTCCCGTGGTTTTTTACTCTTCACATCGAAGGGTTTTTCACGTAAATCTTGGTGTCTTGTGTGATTGGTTTATTATTGCCTTGTTATATTTGTTTGGTTGAATTACTTGCTGCCTTACTATCATATTGCTTGTGATTGTTTGTCTTCTATTGGTTCAAATCGAGAAGGGAAAGTATAGACTTGGGTATTCTTCCGTTGTTATCTTGTCAGACATTCTTTGTTAGTGCCTTGTTTTTCCCAACAAAGTGGTATCAGAGCATTGGTTATTGTTGATTGTCGTTTTGAATGATGGAGGCAAATATGAGCAAAATGGTGTGTT